AAAGTTCAGAAAAAACAATATGTCAAATAATTATTACATTTTTATAAAGAGAAACTTGAGTAAGAATATTGTACAATAAAACCCACTGAATAGTATAAAAGATTAAAAAAATTTAAAAAGATTATCAACTAGAATATAGGCAATAAGTAACAATACTTGACTTTATCATAATGGTTTCCCATGGTTTAATTTGTAGAGCACACTTCAGTTAAAGAAGAACTGGTTTCTTTGATGGAAAAAGAGAATACGGGTCTAATGACATTTTTCTTGAGTAAGGTTTTCTCAATCTTTAGGCTGGTTGATATTAGTTTCACTTTTTAAAATAACAGGGGATATCAACTCAAACACACATACTCCCAAAGAATAATGCTTCTATAATAATAAAGTGCAGTATACATGTATCTGTCTGTCCATCTGTTTTTTGATCTCATTGAATCATAAACAACCTTATTGTGTCGGAAACCTACCACCCCTCTTGAAGATGAACTTGTCTGCGTCTGTGAACAAAGACTTTAAATAGTGGCATGTCAGTTGACATGGAAAAAAGACAGATAGACAGAGAAGTTCTTAGCTGAGCTAGTTATTGACTACTCAGGCGATTTCTGTACCTTTTTACCAACCTATTAAAACCCTTTTTATTGTTACATGTTATTTGGCGTTTGTCTCTACTAACCCCAAATCAACATCATAACAAACCTGAAGTAACAGGTAGTAACTACTGTAGTTACATGTGATTGAAAATTAAATAAATAACTCATTTAAAGTTAAATTTAAATATCAAACAGAGTGAAAGGTTTAAAAAAACAATTGTTTATCAAATGTTTTGTCACAATTGCAATTGATATCATCTAATTAAACCGTAATTAAAACTTAAATGTTGCTCATATGCTGTTTTTTTTTTTTTCTAGTATGCATACTGTGATGTATTCAAAATATTACATAGTTCGGGTTCCCTAATGTCTTTTAAGAGTGACTTTATGTAAAGGGATAAAAAAAATGGTGCTTGCCTAAAGTCTGCCCAGGGGGCAGCTTCTAGGCTAGTATAAAATAATGTCAGATTAAAACAAATTCATTTAAAAAAAATACACTTGTCGTTATAATTATGCTAAACAATTTGCTGTTGCTTGTAAACCCCAAAATGGAATATTCTTCTTCAAAAATTATTATTAACTTTTCTCTAAAGCTAACATGCATCAAACTGGATATCAAAAGAAAAAAATATATATATTTTATTTAATGAATGCAAAAGAATTACTACACCTATCATTATAGATATGTTTGCTCTATAAAGAAACAAGCATCTTGAAACAAGAGAAGTTTACGATCACAACTAAAAGAAAAACAAGAATATTTTTCAAAGCAGAATAAGAAGGATGCAAAATTGATTCTGTTAATTCTTCTGTCAGTAGAAGGAGAATGTTTCAACAATAATTTCTAAATAAAACAAATGTCAAATACAAAAAAAAAAACAATAAATTCTGCCAAACTTTTAATCTTCCACTGAATTGTAAAAGTCAAGAAAAAAAGAGAAAATTTATTAAGTTTTCTTTTCTTGAATATGCAGACTGGTAGACAAAATACTGTTTAAAAGAAACTAAGCATCTACTCAAATATGGGTATCCACTAAAAATAATGCTTGAAGTAATAAAAATATGTTGGATTAAAAAATAAAATTCATTAATTCTTTAGAAATTTGCTTTGTTTACATTCTGGATATGAAACTGAGCAGATATGCATTTCAGGAAAAATTTGAATGAATGAGTGTACTTTAGGGGCAAAATATAACCTTGTTTTGTGATGCTCTTCATAGCTGAGTAATAAAAGCACACTGGATCAGATGGGGCTTCATCCTGCAAAAGGAGATGCAGGTTCAAGCCAGCCAGAGGTTACATTTTCTTTAAGTTTTCTTAAGTACTAAGACTGGTAGATGAAATAAATACTATTTAAAATACAGGTATCCACTAAAAATAACATTTGAAGTAGTATATATATATATTTATATATATATATATATATATATATATATATAATCCTTTGTGTATAGATTGTTAGGGATTATAAGATGCAGTTAAAAATACAGAGAAATTTAAGGAAAAAAGCTTATTTTCATGTATAAATGTATCTGATTTTAGACCAAAGAAAATGAAGAAAACTTGTGAAAAACAAGAAAAAAAAAGAAAAAGGTGGACATTTTGTTTACTTTTGTGTTTCAAACCCCTTATAAAAATGTGATAATGACTTTTGGGGTATAAGACCATTAAACTACTGATACACATTGAGAAAATAAATCAAAATAAAAATTAAATAAATATTAACTTGTTTGTTTGGTTAGTTGGTTGTAATTTGTTTGTGACAGTCTGAGGTATTTCTTTTGAAATTATATTTTTGGTCTGGAAAGGAATGTTTGTGAGGTATCCATGTCATTTTTCTGTGCTTATATATTGAAAAAGTATGAAACTGTACAGAACTTAAAGAAACATTATGAAAGAATGATTTCCCTTTGTTGCAATACACCAATAGATAGATATTATCACTCTGGTAAACAAATAAATTCAATTTGTCCGGATTTTGTCTATTCTGAGCTGCAGAAAAAATGGGATTGAGTTCTAAACTAAAATATAAGATGCAGCAGACATTGGGACATGGTTCTGGATGAAAAAATTTACATCTTATACACACAGGATTATGGCATATATCTGAATGTACTGAGAATGAAAATAATATAAATTCTAACGTTCACAGCATTAATTCAAAAGAGGGCTCAATACCAAGAGTAGAGCAATAAATTTTATTATAATTTTTACATATGGGAAAAAAATGGTTCCATTTTTGATTCTCACCAGTCAAGATGCAGCCGCATCGAAACAAGAAGGCATCTTTGTAGAGAGTAAATTGTTTTTGTCCATAAGTAAAAATTATAATAAATAATTATTGCTCTACTCTTGGTATTAATGCTGTGAATGTTAGAATTTATATTATTTTTGTTTTCATTACATTCTGATATATATATATATATATATATATATATATATATATATATATATATATATATATATATATACACACACACACCATAATCCTATGTGTATAAATGAAACCATTTTTGGTTCTCACCAGTCAAGATGCAGCTGCATCGAAACAAGAATGCATCTTTGTAGTGAGTAAGTTGTTTTGCCCGTATGTAAAAATTATAATATATATAATTTTTCATTGAATAATATAAAAACATTTAGTTTATAATGATCCTTTCCAGTTCTTTAATCAGTTTCTTCCTTGATGAATTTCATTGTAACATCAAGAAACTGATTAGAGAACTGAAAAGGATCAGTATAAAGATAAATAGATATAATATGTCTATATTATTCAATGAATGAAGATATGCTGCATAAATATATATGTATATAACTTGTGTATATCTTTTGATTTATTTTAAAATATAATTCATAATGAATGCCAGCAGCTATCTATTTTATATAGTTTTGTAAGAATACTCATGAATGATAATAACAAGGAGGATAATATTTGTCTCAATGTAAATAATACATATTTTTTTATAAGTTTTACTCTTTCCCAATCAATTATGACAGTGCATAGATAAAATAAGCAGTGATTGTGAATTCATGACGAAATGGTCAATTTACATCTAGACAACTAAACTGACCCTAAGAGTTTCTGAATAACATTTACAATATCAATAATATTTAAAAACTACAAGCTTACTCACCTAGAGCTGAAGACAAAGATATGACTGAAAGAGGAATAAAGATACTGTACTGCTTCTTAAAAAATAAGCAGACATTTAGTTCTGATCCCTTATTCGTAAATGGAAATAACTTAGCAAGAAACAATAAAGAATAAATTGTAACATTGTGTAAGTAACACCTGATAAGAATATGAGACTAAATCTTTCATTCATAAAAATAATTGTTTATTCACTTCTGGATTCTGTCAATTTAACTTCAGCTGAATCAAGGGTATGTGGGTTTCATTCCTTTCTCTAATCATTCAATCATTCTTGCTAGAATGTGTGGGATTATTTCTCTTCTGTGTCTGTATATATCCTAAGTTCAACTGGGTTTACTTCCTGTTTATGTTGGTACAGCCACCAACATACTTTAAGGCCTGATTCTGCACCTGGCAGCTATGAGGTTACCTTTTAAGTCAACCCTCTGAGCCACCAAGCTCTTTTGATGTTCTGATGTAACACCAAACAAAGCTTACTTTGTTATCTCTTAGGGTGAACCCAGTACATATTGGGGTCACCATGGATCAACTCTTCTTAGATCAAATGTTCCTGATGGATATTAAATTCAATTCAGACCTCTGATGAATTATATACTACAAAATTATAATTCTTTACTCATTCTTAGCTACAGTTTTGTTCACAATATTAGGATGTGAATAGCTGAAAATATTCCTGTATATATTAATACATAAGTTTAAAATGGCATATGATACCTGTGATGAAGGTAACCATAGTTGTCTCCCTCTCAAATTACTCTACTATAAAATGTGTTGGTCGAACTTCACATATGTGCAGTGATCGAATTGCTTTGAATAAATCTTCATTACAAATGTTTATCTGTTTTCTTTATAATGCCTAATAATGGATAGTTTATAACTGGATGGATCCTCTTGAAATGTTAGCAGAAACCTGTAATATAAAACTGAAAAAAATATTCTGTTGGTGATGACACATAAAAAGAAAAATCAGGATTTTATTGAAATTTGGAAGCTGATAACTCAATGTAGGCTGAATGTTGAAAGGTTTGTTTTCTTCAAATCAACCTACCATTTTGTAAGATCTTTTGCTGTAAGAAGAAATTAAGTCATCAATAAAAGTAACATTAATAAAAATGATACATACAGAAATAAAAGCAATTAAACAAATTGAAAAAAAAAAACTATACTAAAAATAGAAACTTGTAACATATCTGAAGCTGTACAGTTGTTATCGGCGATATTTAAAGACCAAATAAAACTGTTGAGCTCTAGTTTACCTTCCTCATGCTCTTCATTAACATGGTGAAGAGCAGGCTCATAGGCTGCCAGTTGAGCAACAGAGACTGTGGTCAATGGAAAATTCTCTCGTCCAACCCTTTTACGTTCTTCTTCAGCTCGTAGGGCCCGAAGAATCATTTCTTGCTGTTGTTTTCGGCGAGTTGTTGTAGCAGTCACCAATGTTTTCTGCAAGTTCAGAAAACATGTAGTTAGTGAAGAAAAAAAAAAAACAATCCAAGCATTAAACAAAATAATAATTGCACAAAAAAATAGGTGGAAAATTTCCTCATAGATTAAGAGAAGACTTGAAGCAACAGAAATATGGTTCTACAGAAGATTTGGTTTGGTTTGTTTTACAACATATCAACCCATTGGGTCATTTAATGCCAAAATTTAATTTTCTTGGAAATATGAGTAACATTTTTTTTTACAGAAAATGTATTGCTAGTAATTTTTTTTTTTTAAATATTTTTCTTACAGAAAATGTATTGCTAGTAATTTTTTTAAAAATATTTTTCTTACAGAAAATGTATTGCTGGTAATTTTTTTAAAAATATTTTTCTTACAGAAAATGTATTGCTGGTAATTTTTTTAAAAATATTTTTCTTACAGAAAATGTATTGCTAGTTTTTTAAAAATATTTTCTTACAGAAAATGTATTGCTAGTAATTTTTTAAAAAATATTTTTCTTACAGAAAATGTATTGCTGGTAATTTTTTTTAAAATATTTTTCTTACAGAAATGTATTGCTGGTAATTTTTATTACTATAAAAATGTATTGCTAGTATTTTTACTATAAAATTTTTTATACTTTCATACTCTTTTGACCCTAGTTTGAGGAGTCAGCTATTTGCCCACAGCTGGTGCCTTAACAGGTAGTACCACCCTTAGTTAGGGTGGACCTGGGAACAACAGCAACTAAGAGGTGATTCCATACTCCCCAAAACCTCCCAGAGGCCTTGCTGCCGGATCTACAGAAGGAAGGAGGCTGAGAATACCAAGGATGGAGCACATAAGCAACAAAGAAATATTAAGAAAAATGGAAACAAAAAGAGCATCTCAAAATCAGAAAAAGTTAGCTGAAATTTCTTGGACACATAATAAAGAAGGGCTTTGAGTATTTGATACACACATTTGACAGTGGGAGGCAGCTGACCAAATGGCGGAAAGGAGTGATAAAGTGATACCCAAAAGACAAATGTTATGAAGCACCCTAAACGATAAGAAGTTGTGGAGAGCCATGATTGCCCACGGGACATGGCACATAGAAGAAGATATCTGCCAATGAGTAACACCAAACATGCATGGCAATTCTCTTAAATCCTCACAATCCAAACCTTCTCTTCTTTCTTTTTATGTGCCATATCCTTTCAGGACATAGGCGATCATGGCTCTCCACCTCTCCCTATCCCTTGCTGCTCTCAACAAGTTCCTTCCCTCTGCTATCTCCCACAGACCACATTCTGTCATCCACCTACTCAAGCTCGCCAGGTATGTCCCGTGCTGCTTTCCCTTGTCTCTCTTTCCCTCTATTCGACCTGTCAGTATCAAATTCTCAAGGCCCTTTTTCCTTATTACGTGTCCCAGAAACTTCAGCTTCTTCTTCCTGATGTTAAGCATGAGCCTCCACCTCGTTTACATCCTCTCCAAGATCTCATCATTGCTCACACGCTCAGTCCACAAAATCCTCAGCATCCTTCTGTAGAACCACATCTCCATCACCTCGAATTGCTGCTGTAAAGAACCTTCTCAAATGTTTCAAATTGAACAAAAAGAGAGCATATGTATCTTTATAACATGACATCTGATTGTATAAAAACTCAAACATAGATATTAAATATAGTGTTACTATAACACAAGATGATAGCCAGAGACTGATAAAATTTTATCAGAACATTTATGACTCACTAACATGCACATACTATACCTGACAATGTTGCAATTTTATTTTCTGTCAGTGTAGTTATATTTCCTCAACCTGATATTTTTTTTGACAATTTTATGTTCATTAAGTCCAAGAAAGAAGATACTTGTACACATACAAGAAAACTGAATATGATGAAGCAAAATGGAAAATTTCCTCAGTTGAAAATGATTTTAAACTGAGGAAGCCAAAGAGAGCATGTTTCTCCAGTGAAATGAGTCTTTAATAAAAAATTTTCCACTTCGTCCCATCATATTCAATGTTTTTTTTTTTGATACTATTACACATCCTACAAAGACATATACAAGGACACAATAAAAAATGAAACAAAAGTCTCTTTTCAGTCTTGTTCAATGAAACATATGATGATGGACTCTCCCGTTGTTTTTGAATCATGAGTATCTTTCAGTTCAGTTTTATGTTTATGTTTTGTATGAGACAACAATCCTGCATGAGATTTGCAAACAAGTTCACATGAGGGACATGCTGAAGAGTTGACTGTCATATGGGCTGATGTATTAGGCTGATATTTAGTGTTAGTTCTTAATTCTCTCAGATGGTTGAGACGATTGTTTTCAAAGTTAGTCATACCTTGGTAGCAGGTGTTTCTCCAGTTTGGTCAGTTTTCAACAGCAAGTTCAAACTCCTCTATAAGGATGTTTGTAGCATTTAAATTGCATTTAAGTTTGTCCTTGAAGCGTAACCAAGGACGGCCTACATCATGCTTACCATGAAAAAGTTGGCTATACATGAAACATATATATATATATATATATATATATATGTAAATATAAATATAAAAGTGGACACTGAGGTCAACACCAACTGTCAACAGTCTGTTTCATGCTTCATCACAATCTTCAGACCATTTGAACAAAATTATATATATATATATATATATATATATATATATATATATATATATATATATATATATTCCAACTATCTTTATATATTTTAATTATTTCATCTCAAGCAAATTGATAATGCCACTAAGACACAAGGTTAATGGGTGCAGAAGAGAATGAAAAGACTTTAGTGAGGAGAAAAGACAAGAATAGGATTCAGGAAGATGGTGAATGATATTGCATTTATATATAATTTTTTTCATTTTAAATGAAACAATATAAAACAATAAGTTGACTAAATTTTCATTAACTTACTGTTTCTTCCTGGTTTAGTGTGACTTCTTCTATCTTTGCCTTAAAGTGTGGCTTCCATGGTGGATCAACCACAGTTTGAGTAGGTAGTCCAATGGTTGGAGAGGGCAGGGTAAAATCAATATTAGGAGGAGGAACCTGAAAAAGATCAAGGAAAATACTTTTTTTAATATATGGCCTGAGCCCAGAAGAAAATTACATTAACACTTTAAACTCATCATTTTCTACTTGAAATCTATATAGTAGATAAATAGCCCTGGCAGCTACTCATTTCTGGACACACCCATTTGTCAGGGTAGCTAGCCAAACCCAATTACTCAATCCACAGAGAATATATGAGTGGATTTTAGTTACAGTATTTGTATGAGAGCACATAATCTGGTGTGATTAATTTCTTGAAGGCCATGATGATTTGTGACTTTTTGCAATTAACTACAGCTTCCAAACAGTTCAACAGATAATAAGAATAATAGTCCCATAGTAGTACTGTTATATACCGTACCTATGAACTCTAATGGTTATATCCCAATCCTCATAAATACATTGGACACTATTGTACGTAGAAGTAATATGCTGTCTAAGTAGTGCACCACTAGCAGTGGTTTACCTACTTCATGCCGCTGGCGAGTATTGTATTTTGTTGATGTTATAAAGATTACCATTTCATTTCCAACCTCAGTTTTGGTTATTCTTCATTCAGTAATCCTTTCTGGTTACAAGTACGATACATAACAAATAAAAAAGAAAATTTTGTAGCCTTCAAATGATTTTAAATCTTCGTATGTGTTATTTTTGCTTTAGAACATTTCTGTTAGTGCATTTCTCAGTGATCAGTAAATAGACCAAAGAACAATCACTTTTTTATTATATAAATTCCATGTACTTTTTTATATTTGTCATAATGACAAATCATAAGTTAACTATAATTTTAGCATAAAAAAATACAGTAAATGCTTGATTATCCAGACAGGGGTTTAAAAAACATATTCTAATAATTCAAAATTCTGGATAACTGAATACATAAATTATCAAAAAAGAATGAAAGAAAAGACGCCATTTTGTAAAAGAAATTTAACATTTATATCATCAAATAACATTTTCAAACACTTTCATGCAACAATTCTTTTTTGCTTCACTAAATATTGTGTTCATCTCCTGTTTAGTCATATTTTATCTTTTTTTTCTTTTCCAGAAAAATGGGGAATTTAGAATCAAATTTGAATATAACTGTGAAAAGAGGTAAGTAAATATTTTATCTGATCACTTTCTCTACTCATTTTTTATATCACTATTTTGTCAGTACCACATGCATTATTACTATTATTTTATTATTTGTTACTTTCCATTTTATTGTTGCATTTTATTTCTATGTTCTGAATCAGTATACTCTTCATCTTACCAAGTAAACAAAGCAAAATAAAAAAATTTAGTGATACTTATATTCATCTCTTTTTCTTTGAGATCCAATCTTTTTTTTTCTTTTTACAGCAATTCTGTATTTTAAATTAATGTTGAATATAACTGTTAAGTTATGTTGTTCAAGCTAACATGATAATTTCTCAATTACCTGAATTCTTTGGGACAGGGATCAAAAAAATATGTTCAGATAAGTAAAAATTCTGTATAAGTGAATACCTAAATTATCGAAAAAGAATGAATGAAAAAGCCATTTTCTGAAATAAATCTTTATCATCAAGTAACATTTTCAAATGCTTTACTTGTGCAGTTGATTATCCAGACACTTTAGAGCAGAGGTTGGAAAAATATGTTTTGGTAATTCTGGATAATTGAATAACTTATTAAAATAATAATTAAAATTATAATTAAATAAGTTATTAAAAAAGAATGAAGGAAAAAGTCATTTTCTGAAATAAATTTAACATTTATATTGTCAAATAACATTTTCAAATGCTTTGTTCAATCTTTTGTCCAGTTTATTCTTTATGTAAAAATACATCAGTTTTTATCCATTTTCAGCAGTCCTTGCATTTTTCTGCTGCCAACTCCTGAAGCTGTATTAAAGATGTGATAATTCAAAAATATGTTCTTTGTATGAAAAACAATGAGGAAATTAACAAGAATTGAACATCAGTGTAAACATGACTTTAGTCAGATGAAGTCCTAAAGGATGAAACATGTCACACAAAAATTTTTTCCCCACTTTGTCATTAATTTTCCTCACATTTTTATAGTGTCCTTATGTTTATTTATTATAATTCTTTCATATAGACAAAAACAATTTTCTAACTACAAAGATGCAACCTCCTTTCAGTGCATTTAGTTGCACCTCAACTGGTGAGAACCAAAATGGTTATGAACACTTCTGTTTGTAAGCAGACCACTCATGGAAAACAAACAAAACAAAACAAAAACAAATAGAATTGTTCATAAACATTTTGGTGCAACTAAATGTACCAAAACAAGGTTACATCTTTGTAGTGAGTAAATTGTTTTTCTATATGAAAAAATTATAATAAATAATTATTGCTCTACTTTCAGTATTGAGCCCTCTTTTGAATTGATGCTGTGAACGTTAGAATTTATATATTATTTTTGTTCTCATTACATTTGTGTGTGTATATATATATATATATATATATATATATATACACACACACACACACACACACACACACACACATATATATATATATTGTCCAAATATTTTGTTATTGTTATCAAAACGTTACAGGGGTTGTGCCCTCTGGTCTTCATCAGGTGAGGTGTATATCAATCTGGGTAACCTACAGTGAATTCTGAACTGAACTCTTTATGTAATCTACAGGGGTAGACTGTTCTCATTTCACTGCTTATGTCTAGGGATATCATCTAGTTCTTATTTTATTTAGTAGTGTAGTATTCTTTTTTAATCATTTCACACCAAGCAAGTTGATAAAGCCACTAAGACACACATGATTATAGAGTGTGAAAGAATCTGAGAAAAAAACATTATTAAGGAAAAAAGGTAATAAAATAACAGGGATTAAAGAGACAGAAGATGACAATTGATATTGCACTTAATATTTTGAAGATCAAAGTTAACAGGAAAGCAAGAAGCTGGAAAAGAAATCCGCAAGAGAGAAGTGTGAGAAAAGAAACTTATCTGTCTATATTTCTGAGATGAGGTATTGTAATTATTTACATTGTTCAGACTGTTGTTCTCATCTTTTTTGTCATATTCATGACATTCTGGCTGTTGTACGCTCTGGCCTTCTTCAGGTGAGTGGAATTTCGAACTGAACCCTGGCCCAGAGGATAAAAGCATTGGTTGGATTCAGTGACTAGATTCAAAAAGTTGTGAGTTCAATACCTGGCTATTGCAGTGGTGAAAAAAACTTGGAGGGTTGAGATAACTGAGATCTGAAGAGGCATGGCATGCGGAAGTAGAACAATCTACCTCAGTGGATCAAATAAAGGGTTGAGTTCGAAATTCCAATCACCTGAAGAAGGCCAGTGTTCAATGGCTGAAACATTGTGAATATGATAATAAAGATGAAAGACAACAGTCTAAACAATGTAAATAAGAAACTGTTAGCATAGAAATTATGATTACATATGGAATTTCAAATGTAAAATAATGAGATCTAACTGCCAATCTAGTAATACACTTAAAGTTGTAAAGTCAAGGTACCAAAGAGGACAGCTCATCAGAACAATTACCATGAAAATATTTATAGAAAGGGCTATATTATGGCGATGGGAAATTAACTGAAGCTGAGAGATCAGGACAGATAGGTTGACAGGAAATTTACTCCAAGTTTTGCTTCCTCACTCTGCAGACATAAATTTTGTGCCAACAAATGGATTAAAATCATACAAAGCTAACCTTAAAATTTTGTGAAATCACTGAATTGCAAGAAAATTTTAAAGTTTTTCTATAAATATTTTCATAGCAGTTGTTCTAATGAGCTCTTCTCCAAGGTATCTTGACTACTGTAAGTTCTATTCTAATAATTAGTCTTCTCGCACTTCTCACTTGTGGAATTCTCTTCTGGTTTCTTGCTTCATTGCTAACTACAATCTTCAAAAATGTAAATGCAACATCAATCGCCATCTACTGTCTACCTGAAGCCTGTTCTTTTATTGTCATTTCTCTTCACTAAAGTCCTCTTATTCTCTTTCATTCTCGATAACCCCTTGCGCCTTAGTGGCATCATTGCCTTGCTCAGACTGAAACAATAAAATAAAAATAAAATTACCTTGAAGATGTTATTTGCTCCTTCCTCCATGCGGGGCCAAACTTGATAGCGAAACTGCCAAAGAGTACCAAATCTACAAGAAATATTTTTTTAAAGAGTAATAATAGTATAATAAATATAATAGAAGATATTTGTTCATATGGAGAGAGATATTTTTAAAGCAATTATTTAGCTGTAACACAAAAGAAATACAGATGTAAGTAAATGGTTGACAAGGTATGAAAAATTTAACATTTAAATGGTGCATGTTGTTACAACTTAAGAAATTGATATTTTATTTTTACATTATATTCAGGTAAAATCACTTTAAAATATTCTTGTAAAATATAGACTTTTATATGTCTGATGTAAAAAAACAAAACAAAAAAAAACATGTAAATAATATTATTTTAAAATTCACTATTTCTTGCCAGGTTTTCTTTCATTGTTAATGTAGGACAGTATAAAAAAATATGTTGAATCTTAAGAATGAATTTGGTATTGACCTGAGAACAGCGTTGATACGATGGTTAACATTTTCATGCTGCATTTCTCGAACAACCATTGCTTGTGCCTTATCTGGAGCCTTTACTGATGTCAACAAAAACACAGTAGCTAAAAGAACAAGGCAAAAATAATATAAAGTAAACAAACAATATATGCAAGGCAAATTAACAGTGATAAGACAAAGCAAATATGGCAAAAAGTTCACAAACTAAGAATTGGTATTGACACACAAAAGCAAGTTTGGATAAGTGAATGTAGCGTTCTGACTTCAAGACAAGACAGACTGGGACTGAGTCAAATGAAACCAAGAACCGGCCTATTTTATAGGCTAGGAAAATAATCCCAGCATACATTTGTGTGCTTCTGCCTATAAATTAGGGAGGGGCAAGTGTTTTGCCATCATTCCTAATCAAAATTAGAATCAACTCATGAAGCAGAAACATGTTAAAAATTACTATTGAAAAGAAAAAAGTGGATGTAAATCTTAAGTGACCAACTTTTTTGATCACCGCTTATCAAAGTGGATTGATGGAATGTTTAAAATATCAAACAATGAAACAGAATTACCAATAAAAACGTTCTAAAAGTAGTTTCTATTTGTCATGAAAGCTAAGTGGTATAACTTAATTTGGACTACTATCTGTGTCTTGTGTTTTCCATTTTTTTGTTTATCTTTATTTGTGAATATCTATGCCAGTAATACAACAGTATATGCATGCCCCCTCCAAAACCCCTGATGACCAGAGCTTGGCAGCTGATCTCTCCCCTGACCTAACTCTAGCAGCTTAGTTGGGTGAAAAACTGGCTGGTCGCATTCAACGCCTCAAAAACCAAACTAGTGACCTTCCATTATCACCGATTGGACCCAGGACTTTCACCAGTCACGATGAATGGATGTTCCCTCAGTGAGGCCCCATGCTTCAAGCACCTATTGGGACTCAGCCTAGTCCTTAAGTGGAACTTGTACATACAATCCATTACTAAAGATGTTGGAAAAATGGTCAATTCCTTGTACGAATCCAGTAAGTACCTGACTCCTTCTGCTATCTTCTACTTTTACAAGAGTCAGATCAGGCTGAAAATGGAGTATTGTTGCTATATGTGGACAGGAGCTGCCCAGTCTTCACTTTCCACTCTTGATAGAATCCAAAAGCGTCTCTATGACATTATAGGGGACAAATTATTCTCCACCCTACAACCCCTTTCTCAAAGATGAATCATTGCAAGCCTCTCACTGCTTTATCCTTATTTCATTGGAAAGTTTTCAGTTGAACTGCATTCCTTAGTTCCACCAGTTCTAACTTTCATTGATAATACCTGCCATGCCCTCGTTCTCTTTGTATTCTTTGGTGAGATGCAAGTTCTACTTGAGCAGCTTCTACCCACAAACTTTTGTGAGACTGTAAGAATGCTAATAAAATGGAGAGAGAAAATGGATTAAATTAAATCAAAAGTGAACACAAAAATGAAGAAGGTAGTGGATAGATTGAAGGACATACTGAAAACAGAAGAAAATATACTTATTTTTTTTCCCTCATTTCATGAATAAAGGGCCTCACTAGAACATAATGCTGAAATCCACTTGGGCATCTGGTTAAAGTGAGGCCCAAGGGATGATGTGGGAGGAGTGTGGTGATATGTGCAAATCAAACAAGGCTGGCATTTTTGGACAGAGACCACCAAGCTAGTTGCAGATAATTTTATAGCTACAAGTAGGAGAAGAATAGAGTAAGGAAATGACTTTATGTCACTTGTTGATATGAGTGGAGGGTGTGTGTATCACTAAATAAATAAGATCTTGTTGGATACAATACAGAATCCAAATGACAACGGATTCAGTCAATTAATAAGACAACAGTTTCGTCAAGCCTTCTCCAAAGACAAGGAAGGAATCATAATTATCCAAGATGAAAAATCTGGAAAATATCAAAAAAAGACTTTTTATGACAAAGGACATTTCTGATGATGTGAAGTTGATACAGATAATTTTAATTACTGAATGCACGCTATTCATGCCACCCAGTCAAGGGACCCTAATTGGTGAACAAGAGAAAATGGGAGAAAACAAACTATACCCATTGAGGGGTATTGGTATAAGATACAAATAAGAGAAGGAGGGAGTAAGTGGGGGCAGATCGACACCCTGCTACCTCTACTCTCCAGAGGAGGGGTTTCCCAAATTTGGACATGACTCTGCCAGCATATATATTTAGAAAAATCCTGGAACACCAGATTGCATCAGATCCCACCCTGACATTGAGCAAGGGTCCATAAAAGCATTAGATCAGAGGGGAATTGTCAGTAGCAGCTGAAGCGGAAATGTGCTTCCATTACACCAACAGGAGATGATCGCTTCACAGATCCCCGTGTGATCTACTGCCATGGAGAACTCTTGACTCATGCCTTGTTCCAGACTATTAGATAAATTGAGCAGAGTACCCTGACAAAATTGCAAAATGGAAGAATTGAAAGTTATATAATGAGAGAGAGAGAGAGAGAGAGAGAGAGAGAGTGCTTCATCAGTATTTTATAATTTGCTACCTGAAGAAGTCTCTGATTTAGTGTTCAAAACCCAAGTCCAAATTGAAAACGAAGAACAAAGTGTCACGAAATTAGACTGCAAGGGAATGTCTGTTAGCCTGCATGCTTGTAGATTCTTATACAAAAAGTGTTCCTGTACAAACCTAAGTTATATAAACCTTGTTGAGTTACCCAACTTTTTTTCTTTTTGTCTTATAACATCGTAGCCTTCAAGGAATTTTGAATTGGTTCCTTTATTTAATCTAGGGAATGAGTAGATTGTTCTTGTTCACTGCCCATGTCTAATGATATCTATTCTTGTTCTTATTTTATAACTACTCAGTTCTGGTTCATCTTGGTTCTACTGAATCTAAGTTTGCACTACCTCGCACAGAGATTGAACTCACAATTACTTTGTCACCAAATTCATAAACCAATGCTTTAACCCACCAAACTGAGTCTATAAAAGGAGCCCTAAACCTCATATACTTGTTGCTGATACTGCTGCTTGCTATGCTTGACTGCATTCATTGAGGCTTCTATTTTCTTACTGCTGCTACTGTTGAAGCCTTACTGCCATTTCTTTTCTTTATTTATTAATAGCTCCCACTGAGGAGGCCTTCACAACCTTGCATATGCTCTGATTCTTTCATATGTCTCTCTCTTTATTAAAATCTAATGTTCTTAGCTACTAAATAACTCATTCTAAAATTGCAACTTATATTGTGTATGTAGAATTTTCTGTATTTGACTGTGACAGTCAATATTGTTAAGTGAGTATAAAAATGCTTACCTGCAGAAGCAGCTAATTCTTGGTCAGTTTCCAAGATGAGTTCCCATGCTACAGGCATCATGTCAACAAAGGTACTCTCTGACAGAATAGGTGCTGCCTTAGTCACAACAGCCATTGGACACTGAGTCAGATTCTGAGCCTAAAAAAAACAATAATGATGAGTAGGAGAAGAGGAGAGCCATGAACAAATGGTAATAGTAAGATTAACCATTTCCATACAGGAAACATCTGGCATTCATTGACTGAATATATAGTGTTACTGTCAGATGAAATGTATAAAATCTTTTCCTTAAAACATTTTTCCACTAGCTGTTATTGAGCTTTCTAGTACTCATGGAAGTTTCCTTCTTAACTTTTTGTTTAAGATAGTGTGGAAAGTCAACATCTTGATTATATCATTATTTTCCCATCTAGTTACATGTGCTATCCATTTTAGTTGTTGCTGTTGTTGGAAGTCTTCAAGTAATGTGGTCATTGTTATTCGATAAAGTTCTTTATTTGTGATTTGGTATTGATAGTCTTCCAGTTCTGATAAATTGCAGTCTTCTCTAAGACCCACAGGGCTCATTCACTCAAACTCATTTTTAATCAATGATTTGATAAAATGGTTGTTATATAACTGATAGTTTAGACATTTATGAACAAGTTTGATGCCATGTATGACATCCCCATGAGAGTATATTTAGGAAATGACAATGCAATTATAAATATAGGAGAATCTTTTTTAAATAAACCTTTTAAATAGAAATTAACAGAGCAAAAAATGCTTAAAGAAAGATTATAGAATTTATTAGATTGTTACATATATTTACATGTTTTTCTGATGTTCTTTCATAGCATTTATTTTGCTTCTTAGTAACTGGTCATCCTGTAAAACTGTTGTCTAATGTTATTTCAGATTAGAAAACCCTTTGAGACGAACTACCAAGTTGACAATAATGATCATGTTTGACTTCTTCTTCTGTTTGTTTTTAATCAAGGCCACAAAGCTACCAAAGCGGCTCAAGATATTTGTGCTGTGTATGGAGATGAAATGCTTCAAAACAACAAAATGGTTAATGCTAAGCTGTATGTTGAACAAATGAACAGGCTCTAAGAGGCAATTCAGCTGAAAAGGCGTTACCAGTGATACAGTGTGATTATTCAGCATGGCAATGCTCATCCCCACGTTGCTACCAAACATACAATTAAAAAGCTTGCTTGGAAAGTTCTACCACACCTACCATATTCTCCTGATTTAGCCCCTTCAGGCTATCACCTTTTTGGGGTTTGCTTTCTAAAAATTTGTCGTTTGTTTCATTAAACATTGATGGCACTTAAAACATGGCTTGATGAATTTTTTGAGTCAAAAGTGAGTAATTTCTATTGCTGAGGCATTGAACAGTTAGTGTTTTGTTGGCAGGAGGTCATAAAAAATGAAGAGGAATACATTGTTGAATGATTTATCAGTAATATTAATAAATAAAAAGTATTAAAATAAATGATAAAGAACAAACAAATTTATGTAACAATGCAATATTTACTTGTCAAATGAAAAATAACAGGGAAAAGTAGTGTCTCTAGCCTTGGATGGGCAGCCAGTCTAATGAGAAAGAAAACTCTGGATTCCTAATTGTAGAGATAGCAATTGGGGGAAGACACTCATCTATCTTCTGCAAGAATGCATGGAAATTCACAGACAATAAAGGAACCTGTGTAGAGCCACAAACTCCTGTCTTGAAGTTTTATTTTTTTTATTTTTTTTTAGAAAAATATCCATTCAGGATATCTTTATTCCAACTAGCTTCTTTCCATGAACCACTGCTCTGTGGAACCAACTCCCAAAAGGATATTTTCCTGATCACTACAATCTTAACCTGTTCATGTCCAGAGTAAAGAGTTATCTTCCCCACATATCTGTATAAACTACTGCTTCTACTCTGAAACCCTCTATCTTGAGTGACTCCCAGGCCTTGTACTAAATTTTTTTTTTTTTTAAATATTCTGGAAATTTCATCGAAGCGTTTCATTACTGAAAATTAAAAATGAAATTATAGGAAAATTATAAAAATCATTCCCGCATCTTTTCATTCCAACTAGTCCGTCAATTTGAAACTCAAGTGTATTTCCTGGAAGGATATGACATTAAAAAAAAGAAATAAAAACGATCAAACAAGTTAAAGGGACATAATCCAAAATCAATAAAGTGAGAAGTTCATTTTAGATTATGTCCCTTTAAAAACAAATGAAGATTTAAAAGCGTGTCTATAAGGTAAATTTTATTTAACGCTAAGAGAGTAAAAATGGAAGAAAAAATATAATTTCTAATTATGTTCTTGAAATAAATCTTTTTATAAATTCTTTTACATCTTTTCTTACTTAAGTTGTTAAAGACTTACATGATAAGGCAGGACCGATGCAAAGGTATTGTGCTTCCCAATCTATGATACAAGCCCCCACCTCCACACTCTACTACATCTCCATTTTCATGAGGTAGTATTCATATAAAATACAAATTTTATTGTAATTTAATTATGAACAATATGCAATATAGGCGGACAATTTAAGCTAAAAAATTGAAAGTGAATACAATGGGTCTAAATACAAATTAGAGACATGTCATAATAGATCATTTCATCTTGAAATTTTCTTGTTAAAAAGTTGGATAATTTAACACATTCAACATTATGGATGAAAAATAGTGAATTTTATAGTGTTTTCTTGAGACTTAGCATGAGCAAAACAAATTCACCAATTTGGATGAAAAAAGAAAAAAAAGACCCTAAAATGATATCAAAATTTGCAAAAAAAATTTTCATCCTTTAATTGTGCTTAGTTTAATTTGTAACATATGCAGGTAAGAAAAAAAAAAGCAAATGTTGATAAGATAGTGAAAGTCACAAAGCCCGGGGCCCCCAATCAGGCTTAATAACATCAGGGGGTAGTACATGCCAGTTCTGTGATAAGGTTATCTCAAAGTAAGTGACATAATTTTTGTGAGGTTTCTCAAAATCTGAAAATCTAACAATAGGGAAATGTAGTTAAAATCTCCATTGTCTTACTTGGCAGGTAATATATTTTACTATTGGCAGGGGATCAGGTTTTATTTCACGTGGCTTCTCTTCTTTTTTCCAATGAGGAGAGCTGAGTTTCAACTTGGATATAGATACATCTGACTTAATCTTTTCAAGAAGTGGTGTGCTTTCACGTCTCCGAGTTGGTGATGCTTGTTGGAAAATGGATTCCTGAAAATAATTAAGAAAATGCAAATATATCAACAAATAAAACTAAAACACTAGTCGACACCAAATTTATTGTCTAAATATTTTTAGCTGATTTAGAACAATTTTGATGTGTTGAATCCAAAAATTATATTAGTCTTGCTCAATCAGGTCAACTTTTTGAGCTATGGCTACATGCTGTTTTTTATGTTTTTGTTTCAGTTGTCATGTCCATTAAAATACCTAAATATGCAACATATTTCACACAATAAAACTAATTATGCTAATTATAAACATTAATTTTAACCCATCAAAAGTATTTTCAGCCAAATATAGCTTCATAAATATTAAAACACACCTCCAAAATATTTATAAACCAATAACATGCAAGAAAGTGTTTACATATCAAAACACCGCAATTATACTGTACAATACAAAACTATAGAATATAAATCAGAAAGGTTGTTTTATTAGTCATTATAATTTAGGGCTACCACCAAAATATTGCACAGACATAGTAGTAAGCATACCATGTCATTTTTTAGGGCCAATTAGGAATAACTAAAATTATATAATTCAGAAGCCTCAGAATTTCTCAGGAATAACAGTATAAAAATCCCAATGTTTGACCTGAACAACAGAATCTCTCAGATTCCACTAAGGGCCATGTCATTCTAACTACTGATATTCAAGACCTCATTCACTTCCACACACACTATTAAGAAACAACTCAGCAGCTTGGTGACCAGGATCAAGCTTGGTGACCAGGATCAAGCTTGGGTGCCTCACATGGCATGTAAGACATGTACCAATTACCTGCATTGGTGGACCAAGGGCAAGAAGAGTTGTCTAAAATTTGGAAGAGCCAACAAACTATAGCACTGACTGCTGCTTCTGTGCTATTGATGTGACTGGGATCAATAGAAAGAACTGGAGCCACCTCAAGTATCTTGATGTTTAATCAGCACACCGTCTTGTAGCTCATTGTGATGAAATTCCAATATCTATCTTTGGAGAACTTCCTGACATTAGTGAGAAAGATTTCTCAAGTGTTCAAGAAGAAAAAGTGGTTTTTGACAATCATGCTTCACATCCTTTTTCCCAAAAGAAGCTAAATGATCTCATTCATAATCTCAGCTTTTCAAAATCCTTTGCCAAATTGTTGGCATCTAGATTGAAGGGAAAAAAAAACCTCCTCTCTGACAGTGCTCACATCACCTTCTATTACAACAGGCATCAAGAGTACCTCCATTTTTTTTCTCTGAAGAGAAGAACTTGGTGTACTGTACAGTTATTGTGTAGCTTCTGCACAAAATTGGAGTGTCACAGTATGTACCCAAAGATTGGAGATTGTTCATTGGCAGTGACAAACGATCACCGAAAAGCGTTTAGCTGCACAAGGGCAACAAGTTTTCCTCTGTAACCCTCACTCCCCCAACTACACTGAAGGAGAAATATGAAGCAGTGAAGTATGTTCTGGAGAAAATTCTTTATGATCAGCATGAGTTGTTTATTCTGACCTGAAGATGTTGAACTTTTTGTTGGGACAACAGTCAAGGTTCACTAAGTACCCATACTTTCTGTGCATGTGGGATAGTAGGGACACTGCTCAGCATTACACAAAAAAGGACTGGCCTGTTGGGGAGGAAATGATGCCTTGCAGTGCAACAAACGTCATCAATAAGCCTCTAGTGGACAGAGACAGGATACTTTTCCACTGCTGCATGTCAAGCTCAGCTTGATCAAGCAATTTATCAAAGCCCTGAATAAGGATAGTGGCTGCTTCACTTACTTGTGACAGGCTTTACCAGGATTGATGATGGAGAAGTTGAAAGCTACCATCATCGATGGTCCTCAAATCCATCAGCTCATCAGATATCCAGAGTTTGAAAACTCAATGTACGAAGTGGACCTGGAAGCATGGAAGGCTTTTGTTCTGGTCGTGAAGAACTTTCTTGGCAACAACAAGGCCAGGAACTCCACAGAACTTGTCATCAATATGCTGACTGCTTTCAGAAAACTCAGATGCAACATGAGCATCAAAATGCATTATTTATTCTCACATATGGATTGTTTTCCTGAGAATTTGGGATCAATAAGGACGAACATGGGGAGAGATTCCATCAGGACATGAAAGAGATGGAGACCAGGTAACAGGGATGCAGTCATGATGGCTGATTACTGCTGGACTCCTGACACCCCGACTGCTGAGCATTTTAAGGGTTTGAATAAATGGAATTTCAAGCCCTGAAGTTTGAACTATGATGACGTATCATGCAATTTACATGTACTTACATTTATCAATGTATACTATTCAATTTATTGTAATCGATGTTTGTAACATTTAATTAATAAATTGTGTTACAAAACAATTCTTTTTTCTCTTAAAAACTTATTTTCTATGAGAAATATTAACAAAATTCAATTGATAATGTCACAAAAATGTAATCGAGTTAGTCATAAGATCGGATTTTTAAAAACTCAACATAGCACCAAAACATGACCTGATTGAGAAAAACGGATGTCATTTTCAGATTCAGTGGTGAAAAATCGTCCTAAATCATTTGGAAAAATATAGACAATTTAAAAAAATATTTTTTTGTTGCCCAGTGAGATGTTTAAACTTATCTCCCCGACTCAGTTTCATAGATATGGTGTCTATTCATCAAGGAGTATGACAGTAACATTCCAAATCTTATTATCACATAACAAGTGGATAACATATCAGCAAAACTTTGAATCTGGAAGATAGATTTGAACATTTTATTTTATTTGTTGTTTTCAATGATCCATTTCTTAATAGTGAGCACTTTATTTGCAAAGACTGCTTGCCTTAAAAATGTTATTCTCCAGATATACTGGTTGATTTTTCTTTTTTCATAATAATAATAATAATAATAGACACATACACACACATATAGTAATAAATAAAGATGAAGGTTCATTTATCTGTCCCCTACTCTGAGTGCCATGAACATTAAGACATGTGCTGACTTTATATAGAGGCAGTACACTAAATGTCATCTCTTTGACCAATGGGGGCTGGTACCATTATCAGTAGCAATTGGATGCTCTGTCTGCATTTCTTTTCTGCTATGGAAACCTAAAGATATGTTATGTTGAAAGTGCGGATAATTTTTAACTAATTTTTTTGAGTCTTATTTGTAAGCATTTACTTGGTTCAGAGAGAGTGAAATATTGTTAATTTATATTTGAGTCTAAGTATTTATTTGGTCAGCTTTTGTTCAGATGCAGCAGATTCATTTGACAGAGTTTGCTCAACCAACCAGGTAAATGCCGCAACAGATACAGGTAGGTAGTTTGATGTGGTGTAATGGTTAGCAAGTTTGTCTCACTAGATCAATCCTAAGTAGACAAATTTGATCCTCACTGAGTGCTCCATACTTTTGACACTGTGCCACATGTAAGCAATACTAACTAAATCTCTAGTTAAGAAGCAAAATATAATAATTTAAAATTTATAGTGTTTAATGTTGAGCAGTTTTCATTTCCTGTTCAAAACATTCTATTTTTAATATCTCTTGAAATGTCTATAAAATGATTATTGTCAGTAATATATGGTGTTCTAATAACTTTGAAAAACTTTAAGTATGAATTAAGTTTAAGCGTCTAATGATTTTTTCCTTTTTCTTTCAGATTTAACAACTTAAGTCTTTGGCAAATGAGAAACCATGGGAAGATTAACAATCAAACAACGTGTTAAAGTTATTGAAGCTTGTTATGAAAATAGACATTCAAATTTATAAATATATGGCCCAATGATTCCGCTAGCAAAAAATGGACACCGAACAGTGACCTTTTGTTGATGCAGTGGCTTTTCAACAATCTTCCTTGGATTTTCATCAGCCCAAATCCGACAATTCTGCTTATTAACAAATCCACCAAGATGAAAATGGGTTTCATCACTTTGTGAAAAATCTCATCGGCTTGTCTTTGCTCATGCACCCAATTGATGAATTTACGGCACTCTAAATGGTCAGCAGTTTTCAGTTCTTGCGTCAATTGAATTTTGTAAGTATGTAAAGACAAATCTTTTGTCAAAATTTGATGTAACGTTGTTGTGGAGAGGTTCAGTTCCTGCACTCAATGACAAATAGAGGTGTTTGAATTTTCAGCCACATTCTCGTGCACTGCAGCATTGTTTTTAGCTGAATGACATAAATGAGCACACAGTGATGCTTTCACATCTGCCACCGACCAAGTCTGCTTGAATTTATGAACAATTTTTCCAGTTGCACTCTCAGTTGGTTAATTATGTCAACCAAAAATATTGTGAAGTGCGCGAAATGCATTTCTGTTTGAACGTCCATTTTTGTAATGAGCTTTGATAAATTTAACATGTTGTTTGATTGTTAATCTTTCCATGGTTAAAATTGCCAAAGACTTAAGTTGTTAAATCTGAAAGAAAAAGAAAAAAAATTGTTAAACACTAAAACTTAATTCACATTTAAAATCGGTCCAAGTTATTGAAACACCCTATATTAGAAAACTTCAAATTTAAATTTAAAATAGACAAAAGCAATCACTTACTCTTCGTTTGAGTTTTTCTTTGAATAATTCTCTTCGCACATCAACCACTTTTTCTGTTTTTTTTGCTTCATGTTCTTTTGTAGATTCATAAACCTTCTTCAGGGCAGTAATAAGACGGATGCAACTGCGCCGTTGCCGTTCGTAGCAATATGGATGACAAAAATCTTGATGAGTACAAATGAAATTTGACAAATTGGCAAGTTGGACCACAATCTAGAAAAAATAAAATAAAAACAAAACATTCATTTACAATTATAACACTTGCCATTGATCATCTACACAACTTTCAAATGTCTGTTTATCATTTTAAACAGTGACAAAATAACCTGTGAAAACATTTTCATATAACCTATGAAGAGTTACTAAAAAGTTTTTGAACAACCAAGAATGACCTACAGATTTTTTTTTATTCACCCTATACAAGGCCCAAAAGCCACTCAAGGTAGTGGGTTACTGAATGAGATTGATGCAAGTAAGTGAAGGTGATTATAAGGATATATGGGAAAGATAATTGTTAACCTTAGACTTAAAGAGGTTAAGATGCTAGTGATCAGAGAAGCATCCATTTGGGTGTCCATTTCAATGGTTCTTGGGAAGAAAGTGTCTGAATGGAACTTTCTTCTTGCTAATGGAATATGAAGGGAATGAGGATGTTTCATTCTTGTGTATGTGGCATAGTCGGTCTTAGTGGAATTAAAGAATTTAGCTCACCAGAACCTTTGCAATGGGAACAGAGATAGAGTAGTGAACGGCTTGCAAAGTTTTGTCTGTGAGATAGGGGCTGTAGTGGAAAATAATTCCTCATCCACAAGTCCATGAAGATGCTACTGAACTGGAAAATGAGACTGGGTAGATCTGGCCCAGATATTTTTTAATTATTTCACCCCAAGCAAGGCAGGAATTCCACTAGTATGCTGGAGGTTACAGGGTGTGACAATGAAAGAGAAGATTGAGAATAGGGGAGATTGAGGAAAGGACAAATGATAAACGGGATTCAAGAAGACAGAAGGTGGTGACTGATGTTGCATTTAAATTTTTGGAGATTGTAGTTATCTGGGAAACAAGGAAACAGAAGAGAATCTCAGGGGTGGGAAGTGTGAGAAAAGAAACTGTTGGTGTAGAAGTGGTGGTTGCATTTAGCTATTTCAACAGTAAAAGAGTGGGACCTAGTTGCCAATCTAGTAACACACTTAAATTCATGTAGTTAGGGCATCATAGAACAAAGCTTATCAGAGCAGCTGCCATGAAAAAATATTTGTATAAAAGATAGATGGAAGCCATGTCACGTCAGTGAAAAAGTGACTGAAGTCAAGATGCCAGGTTAGGATTGATTACATTGCAGATTCTTCTTTGGATTTTGTCAACAATCTTGAGATGTACAGCAGGAGCACCAGACCAGATATGGCAACATTATTCAATGCATGAATGAATTGTAGATTTGTAAATGCACAAGATGGATTCTGACAAGAAAAATTTTCTGGCAGCAATACCCCATTTTGGTCTGATCTGGTTATTGTAAAGATAGAGTTATAAAAGGTATATATCCGCACACCCAGTCATGCGGAATAAGACACAAGGAGGAATTTAAAGTTGGATCAGAGTGGAGGCATACATGAACTAGAAACATCAATTGCTCATATTCCTTGGTACTTCACCTTTTGGAGATGCCTCAGGCACCTTGCTTGCCCCCAAAGTAAAGGTATTGCCTTGGCACCCTAGAGTTTGAGAACATATTAAATAACTTACTGATATTTTGCCAATTAAAATAATTAAGAATGTGGATTGGACTCAGAACTTTTCAGTACCTGCTTGTACAAAAGTTAATATCATACTAAAGAAAAGAAATATAAATATAGGGTCATTTTTGGAAGTATTAGTGAAAGTTAAAGACAGTTTCTTTTTACAAAAGCCTAGTATTTGATTGATTGATTTGTTTCTCTTTTGCTTATGAACCCTTTATGGGTTTATTTAAAGCGGAAACATATTTTGGTTTGTAAGAATAATTCTTTCTTTTTTTTTTTTTTTGCAAGTGACTGATTTAATTTTTTACCTTTAAAAGAAAATTGATTAAAAATTAATCTGCAGCCAATTTCAAAAGCAATATTAACGTCTGCTTTCTTACAAATTTTTTGAGAAGATATAAAAAAAAAATGCTGCAAGTTTCCTTCTCTTGATACATAGATCCAAAAAAAGAGATCCGGTTAGTTTTGTTATTGGTTTTGGCTCCATGTCCTTTCAGGCTGATGATTGTGTATATATTTCATCACATGAAACTTAAATTCCTTTTTTCCTTTACTCTCTTGTAGAAAGGTCCTTGATGCCAAAATGTAACAAGAGAATTTTTGTACATGCTTTTTTTCCCTGCAGGCCAGCCTTATTCATGAAGGTAAAAGATTTAAAGCAACTGTATCCCTTAAACAGAAAAAAATATTGTAGAAAGTCAGATGAATTCATCAACAGGAGAAACATTCCTGGGCTTGAAAAGGCAGACAAGATCCAACCAGATATCGATTCTTCCCATTCAACAACTCAGAGTCAACAAGACATGAATTACATATTTGAAGAAAAGATATTTGGTTCATTAAGAACTTTAATTATGATTGTCTTTAATTTAGATTTACCCTTTTATTTTGGGTGAAGTTTTGCAATAATCTTGCTTGTACAATTTCACTTGTTGGCTAATGTGTTACGTAGGGTATTATGATTAAGTACATTATTACATTAAGTACATTATTATCCTAATTTTCATTGCCATATTCACAACATTTCAGCCTTGTACACTCCGGCTTTCTTCAGATGATTGGAATTTCAAACTGAACCCTTCATCTTGTTCACTGGGGAGTAGATTGTTCTAGTTCCACGTGCCATGCTTCTTCTGGATGTCTCAGTTATTTACCTTTAATTCAACTCTCCAAGTTTGGTTCAACACTGCTGTGGCCTGGTATTGAACTAACAACTCTTTGGGTCTAGTCACTGCAGTGGTACACCAAACTTGGATAGTTGAGTTAAAGACATCCAGAAGAGGCATGGCATATGGAACTAGAACAATCTATTCCCCAGTGGACAAGATAAAGGGTTCAGTTTGAAATTCCAATCACTTGAAGAAGGCTGGAGTGTACAATGGCTGAAATGTTGTGAATATGACAATGAAGATGAGGATAACAGTCCAAATAATGTAAAAAATGTAAAAAATCTAAATAATCATAATACCTCATCTCAGAGATATAGACAGCCATTATATCACTAGAAACTAGTCACTGGATCTAAGCAAAGTCTTTATACACTAGGCCATGTGTCCTTGTGAATATAGCGATGAAGATGAGGATAATAGTCTGAATGATGTAAATAATGTAAATGTTACTAACATGTTGGTAAAGTTAGTAAACAAGTGTATATATATTTTTAGGAGAATTGTCTATTGTGTTTTCCGTATAGTATTTCCTGATATCATTAAATAGAAATTTTAATTATCAGTGAATAATCAGAAAACAGCATTTAAAGCTAAAAATATATATAAATATTTTAATTTTTCATTAAATGAGAATCTAAAATGCAATTTTTTTTCCTGTAAAATTTTGATCTGAAATATGAAATTCAAAGACTTACTTTGATCCATGGCAAATTCTGACCTAAATTTTTTTCGTCGGTAACCTCCTGATCCATGTAATTTTCCTGAGTTTCATGATCACTGCCTGTATGGGGAGATTCTCCATCTTCCATTTCTTCTTCTAATTTATCATCAGACCTTATCGACTGGCTGCTTATTTTTCGTGAACGTATACTACCAAATCTTTTTATACCTGAAGAAAAAGAAATTGACAAATATGGAATATGAATATGTGTACTTAAAGAAAGAAAACATAAGTAATTTAACATTATTTTTTCCACATTTATTTAGTGCAATTCCTATTTTAAACAACTGAAACAGAAAGCCTAAAGACACCATGTCAGAATTAGATTTTCAAATACAGCATCAAAGACAGAAGCTTTCTCTTTCATAAAATTGGTCATTTTAGTTCATGGATTATGATTCAGTTCCACTTTACTGTTCTTTATTAAACATCTATATCTAATATGTTTAATTTCAGAAAAAATACATTTGATAAAAACAAATTAACTGTTTTCTAAATATTCCTTCATGCACAAAGATATAAACATCACTTATTAAATAATTACTGATACATAAGTGTTATGGTAATTTACCCAAGCACGCATGGACTCTCCCGACTATAAATAGGAGCATGTACTGCTTTTTGGAGAGGGAAGTTTCCAGCAATCAACTCTGAGAGTCGGACCGAACATTCTTGCTGTAACACTCTCGTTTGTATGTTTGTATTACTGTTTCTGTTAATATATTTGTTTAACTCAATTCCTCTCTTTGTTTCTTTATTTCTGGCTCCAAACAAGGCAACAACAATAAGTATGTCAATAAATTCATATTCAAATGATGAAAAAAGTATTTATTTTATGTCACAAATATTTATTTTTCAGCATAATCTCCTTTTTGTCACTGCACTTAATTCAGTTGGGCATATTAATCACATATTGATTGCCAACTTTTCCTCCTGACACAATTTGCAAAATATATGTGTACGAATTGCACTAAATTTTGACAAATAACAAGTCAACCTACAAGAGAGTGTGGTGCATATGTGACCAATGTAAGAATTTAATGTTGTTTGTTGATTATTAGTATTGGTGATACACTCTCCTAAAGGAAATAAGAATTCATAAACAACATTATTTTCACATAAGGTGGATTTTTCAGGTGCTGTATTATTGCTAAGAATTAAATAGGAAGTTTTGAATTTTTTTTGTTTTTTAAATAAATAATAAAACTAAAGTATTTATTACGATTGTTATATAACAATAGGATCAAATTAAATTCAATAAGCATAGAAACTTGTCAGTTTTCACTTTCAGGCTCATCTGGCTGCAGGTACCAGGATTACTAAGATGATGTATGGGTGGTTTGAAATAAATGGCAACCAAGAATGGGTTATAAGACTTACCACAAAATGTAGGAGGGTCCATGATTATATATACCATCAATTTAGTCAGCAAATACATGTCAAAATTTTGATAATACCCCTGACATTTCATTTATTAATTTCTGCAGCTCTGGACACATTGTAATTACCAATTTCTCCTCAGTGCAATGCTGACAAAATTTATGGTTGTTCCTTTAACTGGCCATCTTTTTCATAATCTTCTACTTAAGTTAGGGTCATATAACCTGTTTTCCCCTAATGTTCTGCACACAGGTTAACAGGGTGAGGTTGTTTTTATATTTCTCTCCTGTAACGGACATTTCATGGTTTCTATTCATCTGCTTTAACAATTGGTCAGTTTATTTATTCATTTTATTGATTTTAATTTGATCATAGGTCGCTCTTTTTTATCTAAGGCACTGAACACTTTATAATAATATTTTTAATATTTCTTAGTGAATATTGGCAAACATAATTATAACACAAACTGTGGAACGCAATGACATCTTGCAAATAATAAAAATCAACTTTAAAGCTATGCTTTTTGACAATACAGCAGAACCTCAGTTCTCAAATGTCTCATATGTCGAACAAATCAGTTTTTGAACAGAAAATTTGAGATGAAAATGTCTCGGTTATCAAACAAAATTTTGGTTCTCGAACAACATAGCCGAACCGAGTTAACATGAACGGAATAATTTCCGAGTCGACTGCTGTGTTGTATACATTCATGTGTTGTGTCGTGCTTTTCTTTTCCAATTTTATTGTACTGTGATTTTTTTTCTCTACATTGATTCCTATTGGAAAAATAATTCCGGTTTATGAACATTACACGTTACAAATGGCCTTCAGGAACAAATTAAATTTGTGAACCAAGGATCCACTATATTCCTCTTCTGAAAAAGTACTTTTATAGAATGTGTCTTAATATATGATATATAAGATCTTAATATATGGTCGAATACTTAAGTTTAATGCAATAGACAAGATCTTAATATATGGTCAAATACTTAAGTTTAATGCAATGGACAAGATCTAATATATTAGCCAATACTTAAGTTTAATGAAATACAATTAGGTTTAATGAATTAATATCAATTAAATAATATCAATAAAGTTTACTTACTGCCACCCTCTTGCCTCTTTAACCGGAAACTTCTATTGTGGCGAAAACTAGAATTGTGTCCGGGACCTGAACCTCGTCTAAAATGCTTTAGCAATTTTTGGCGACCTTGGGCAAGTCTTCTCCCTGATGAAATGAAAATGACATATTTTAAAAGTTCATACTGCAAGTACATAAAATAAAACATATTTTAATAAAAAGGTAAAAAAGAAGCTATACCAACCATTAACATTGACTGAATATGTCACATACTTAGAGGCACAAATTCTCATATGTATAGTCATATTAACAAAAATCTCCACAAGCTTAGATGGAAATAATATATAAAATTTAAAAAAAAAAAAATATTAAAATTCTGAATTTTTAATATTTGCTAAAATTTAAGTAAAAGATTAATTTTTTTCAAAAATTCTTACTCTTTCAAATTTTGGCATTAGTTCCCTGAAATTATAAAAGTAGAAAATATATTATAAAAAAAAAAAAAACAACTAATACTAAAATTGCTCAATTGTTAAAATTTTCAAGGAATTTTAATTAATTTAAAAAAAATGAGGATAAATTTAGAAATTTACAGTTTAGATTCACACTTATGAATTGAAGCACTATTTTGTGACTCGTATCCATATATCTGGTGTATTGTCTTCTCAAAATATTTTAATCTAAACAATCTTTAGGTAAATAGCATAAAAATAATTTAGTTTTCACTGTAAAACATAATATAATATTGTTACATATTTAAGACAAGTTGCAAAAATTTGTTTGAAAAATAACCATCTGTTTAAAGTATAGATAAATAAAAGTAATAAAAATTCAGATATTACTTCAAATAAACTTCTTGATAATATAGTAAATTCAGACCCTAAATCGAACACAAAAGAAGCCTACACTTTAAAAAATGAACAAAAAAAAAAAGAAAGTCTGACAGTTTTCAGAAGAAAAAAAAAATCAAACAACAGACAATTAGAAGTTTTATCATTTTTCTTCCAATATTAAAAGCACCAAATCCACTTGGGCACGTAATAACAAGATAAGAGACTAATAACAAACCATATGCATATATATAGTCCTGTAAATAATATGATGTGGATTGTATTATGAGCTATATGAAAATATAATAAGCGTAAGTAATAACTAATATTTAACATAATACTAAAGACAAAAAATAGTTTTATTTTGATGCAAATTTTTCTTTGGGAGTTTTCAACATAAATTCAAAATACCTACATTGATAAGTAACCCACTGAAAAGTAAACTGAAAAAATGAAAATTAATAAGAAAAACCTTTCCATATTCTTAACACATAAGCATGTATATCCAATTTATTTGAAAAATACAGAATATGATGAATATCCCTTACTCATTCAAGTCGTGCAGACCCCACTGAATGAGTATGGGACTAAAACTTTAAATGTGCTAGTTGTTCTTAGTGGTTTCCATAGCAAGCAGTTTTTTTTTGGTTTTTTTTTACAGAATGGAGTTGCTAGCCCCACACAAAACTAGTTTTGCATTCAGAGTTGTATTTTTCCTAAACTCGGTGCCAACCAAGATTGAAGAATCCAACAAACACAACTGGAATCTGAACTTAACTCATCAACTTCTTGTTTCAAGCCACTAACAATTACATCACCTTGACATTGACTATTAAGAATATTTTAAAATTTTTTTTATAATTCTATAAGCACACAGGCATGGCTAATGCTAATTTTCAGGAGTGTCATTCATTGCACCTTTCCAGGCAAAAAGTTTCTGCTGATATGAAGTGGAAATATTATATTGAATCAATTGCTAGGTTTTCTGCTAGGAAAATTGGTTCACTTTATTGTGGTAGACAATTTTTCTCCCTAGAATCTATTTTACACATTTATAAGATTATCATTCATCCATGTATTGAATATTGCTGCCACATCTAGCCTGGTGCTTTTGCTATGTATTTAGAGACTCTTGATAAAATCCAAAGATTTTGCATTATCATTGGTCCCGACCTGACATCTCAGCTTCAGTTACTTTCTCATCACCTAAAGTAGCTACCTTATGCCTTTTCTATAAATATCTTTATGGTAATTGTTCTTTGATAACTCAACTTTACAAATTATAAAGTGCATTACTAGATTGGCAGTTAGGTCTCATTCTTTTACAATTAAAATTACTAGATGTAACTATAAGTTCCATGCTAATAGTTTCTTCTATCACACTTCTTGCTTGTGGAACTTTTTTCTGGCTTTTTGGTTTCCAGTCAAGTTTGATCATCAAAAATTTAAATGCAATGTCCATCATTATCTTCTGTCTTCTTAATTCCTGTCCTTTTATTCTCTCTCCTTAATAATGTTTTTTCTTTTTCATGTATTTTTTCACTCAGTAACCCTTTGCATCTTAGTGGCTTTATTCCCTACCTTGGGAGTGAAATGATTAAAAAGAAAATGTACTGTTAACTATGCTCTGCTACCAGAAATGTTTAACCTGTGCAATTGTCCAGCATAGATTCCAGAGGCTAATGAATATTTCCCACTCTAAACAAATTGTTTCTGTTACAGAAAGGCTGTCTTCATATCGATCCAATGACATGTCCACCTTAAAGCGGCAATGATGGTCAGGATAATCTGTAGGCTCACCTTTGAACAAGTAGGCGAGTCACTTCTAACCAATTCCGAGTCTTTGTGTTGGAACATTTTGTGATCAGTCTTGCCTTGATTATAATTCCCTCTACAACTTTTGACCAAACATGGATACACTATCACTTTTAAAATCCAGAGCTGTATTAGATTTCAGATATCATTACATCAGCAGGAATTTCAACATTTTTTCTGCACTATTTACATTGCTTGGACTATCATCCTCATCTTTGTTGCAATATTTATCACAACATTTTGGTTGTTGTACACTCCAACCTTCTTCAGGTGGTTGTAATGTCAAACTGTGTCCTTTATTTCACTCGCTGGGGTAGACTGTTCTAGTTTCACGTGCCATATCTAATGTATGTCAGTTATCTCCTGTTAATTCCCCTCTCCAAATTCTCCACCGCCTTAACCAGGTATTGAACTCACAACACTTTGGGTCTTGTCACTGGATCTAACTAATGCCTTTATCCACTGTGCAATGTGTCCTTGAGGAGATAACTGATAACTAACATCCATTAGACATAGCACATAGAACTAGAACAGTCTACCCAGTCTACGAGCAAAATAAAGGGTTCAGTTTGACATTCCAACCACCTGAAGAAGGCTGAAGCATACAACGGCCAAAACATTATGATAAATATGGCAACAAAGATGAGGATGATAGTACAAGCAATGTAAATAATATACATAATACCTCATCACAGAAATACAGACAGATTTTTTTCTGCTAATATACAGAGTAGCTTCATTTGAATATAGACTTCTATACTAATGCAAGTGACCCGCAGGGATCTATCCTTAGTCCTAGTATGTTTTTAATCTTCATCAATGACTGTCCTGATAACATCAGCTCTCAACTTGGTATCTATGCTGATGACACAACAATTTACTCCTGCCTCAGTACTAAGTCTGATCAGTTTGATACAGTCAAATTGGTGGCTGATCTAAAAAATGACGTACAGTCTGTTGTTAACTGGAGCAAAGAATGGTTTGTTAATTTTAATGCCTCTAAAACAAAATTGATCTCTATTAATCATCTGAGAGACCCCTTTCTGCTTCCATCAGCATGGTTGATACTAATTTCCAAGAGAATGACTCACTGCATGTTAACATTCTCAGCTGACATGAAGTGGAAAGACTATATGGAATCCATTGCTAGGTCAGTTGCTAAGAAAGCTGGTTTACTGTGTCATGTAAGATAATTTTTCTTTCCAGAATTTATTTTACGTATCTACATCTACCTTTTGTCCATGCTTAGAATATTGCTGCCACATATGGTCTGGTGCTCCTGCTATATATTTAGAGATTCTTGATAAAATCCAAAGAAGAATCAGCAATATTATTGGTTCTGACCTGGCATCAAAGCTTCAGTATCTTTCCAACCACCATAAATTGGCTTCTCAGTGGCTTTTTTATAAATACTTTCATAGTAATTATTCTGATGAGCTATTCACTATAGCACCTAGATTTTATGAATTTAATCACAGTACTAGATTGGTGGCAAGGTCTCATCAATTTACAGTTGAATTGGTTAGATGTAACCATAAGTTCTATACTAACATTTTCTTTTCTTGCACTTCTCACTTGTGGAACTCCTTTCTAGCTACATACTTTCTGGCCAATTTTGATCTTCAAAAATTTAAATGCAATGTCAATCACTATCTACTGTCCTTTTGATTACTCTTCTGTTGTTCATGCGCCTTAATAATGTTTCTGTTTTCTAACTCTTTCATGCCCAGTAACCCCTTGTGTCTTAGTGGCTTTATTGACTTACTTGGAGTAAATTCGATTAAAAAAAAAGAAAAAAAGAAGACTTCAAGTTTTGTCTATTTCAAATTCCAAATGTAGGCTTACTATCCTCTACTTTCAGGTTTCTGTCGATTTTCTCTTTGTAAAGTGTGTAGGTAACAATTATACCAAGTGGAACCACACACTGACCTGGATCAACTTGAATCCAAAACAATGGCACCAATAATTTGTCCTATTATCACCAGGGTTATTGTGACTCACAAGTACAATATTGGCTTCAAATAGTAACCACATCAGATGTAATAACTTCTGTATCAGTCAAATAAATTTGAAGAGATAGTGTAAAAAATATGAAAACTTGTTTTCAGCACAATATTTTTGCTTTGTGTTTTATTGAATGTTCTTTTAGGAGGTTAATTATCAACTGGCTAACTACAAAAAAATTCATGCATTTCAATTTTCTAGAAATACACTTACAGAGGAACATTAGCTAAACATAAAATCATTTTTATGTGAAGCCCCTACCTACAAAGATATTAAAAACATCATGCAAAGCTAAATGATTTCATCAAACATCTTACTAAATACAGAATGAATGTGAAAAGACTCCATAACATAGTCTGATGAGCAGTGTTGCAAAAGAAATTTTCAAGGAAAAAAAGCTGTAGACCATTTTGAAATCAAAACAACTTTTGATCAAAAAGTAATAATATCAAAAGGCTTAAAAAATAAAGAAAATAAAATGAAACTCCAAGATGCTCG